GTTCCTCACACCCCCATCCAACCTGGGCTTGAACACCTCCAGGGATGGAGCATCCACAGCTTCCCTGGGCAACCTGGGCCAGGGTCTCACCACCCTCACAGTGAAGAACTTCTTCCTAATTTCTAATCTAAACATCCTCTCTTCCAGTTTGAAGCCACAACCCCTCATCCTAGCACTACAAGCCCTTGTAAAAAGTCCCTCCCCAGATTTCTTGCAGGCCCCCTTCAGACACCACAAGGTACAAGACCACCAGAAGGTCACCCTAGAGCCTTTTCTTCAGGTTGAACAACCCCACCTCTCAGGCGGCACTCATGGCAGAGGGGTTCCAGCCTTCTGGTTATCTTCATGTCCCTCCTCCTCCTCTAATTCACTTCTTGATGCATTAAAGGCTCACACCATTGCTCCAGGGCCTGAACCCCACACGTTCTTTCCAGCAGATGTCAACTTCAAGCATCAGCAGGAGCTGATGGAATGAGAATACACAATCCTGCCCCCACGATTAGATACAGAGCTGTCATTTACTTGCTGTGGAAGAGACTTTAGTTAAAACAGTCAGTAATTCCTTACTCACTGATTGAGAGATGAGCACCCGAGCTGAAACACAAATTCTTGGCAACAAAAAGTCACAAAACTAGAGAGAAAAGAGATGGCAAAATAAAAAAAAAAGCAGCATTTTGGAAACTTTGAAACAATTTATTCAGTTGTTCTGTACAAGATTAACAGTTTTCATACCACCCCCACCATCTTCAGCGAGACAGTCCCAACACACGCCAAAAAAAAAGTGAAAAATAAAAAATTAAAGAGTAAAACCACAGCTCTCCCACCCAAAAAAAACCAAAAGAAGTGCCTTGGGAAGTGTGTGCCGTGGGAGCCTCGCCTCCCCACGCTGCCAAAAAATGCCAGAGGCTGAGAGGTCAGCCCCCCAGCGTGGTTCTGCCTTGCTGCCACTCTGCTCCACACCACTCACTCACTCAAGCATGTAAAGAAAAAAAAAAAAAACAAGAAAAAAAACCCAAAAATCCCACAGATTTTTCCACCAAATAAACGTTTCCCTGAGGCAAGAGGCTTCGCTAAATTCCTAGAAGGAGGGCGTTCTGCTCTGGCCACGCACACGGGTGCTTCCCAGCAGCAGCATTCAAGTGAAAGCAAAGAGAGGGAGTAGAACCAGTACCTCGAGTCACTCGCTGAGAGCCCCTGTCCTGCTGGGCTTGAAGGTGCAAAGTACCTCTCAGGATTAGGCCTTCACAAGGGGAACCAGGCGACATCCACTGCTCAGAGTCCATCCGTTCGCTGCTGTGCTGAGTTTCCACAACGGGACTTCTGTCTTTGGCTCTTTTGCTACCACCTAGGTATTTTCTGTAAACAAACTGGGAAGCTGAGCTGCTTTTTTTGTTTTTGTGGGGGTGTTAAAAAGTACAAACAAGTCGTTGATCTTGGGAAAATTGGGTGTCGGATAAAATTGGAAATAGCGCGTCTTGGAACTGACCAAAAATGGGGAAAATGAAAGAGTTTTGCTGGTATGCTTGGTGTCAGCATCCTCCCCCAAAGCTCCTGGGGGAAGGCTAAGAGCTTTTCCTTGGAATATCAGTCAAGTCCGTGTGGATCAGTGCTACTGCTGCACAATGTGGGGGCCTGAGAAGAGGCAGGCTGGGGGAAGAGCCCGAAAAAACCTCCAAAACATTAAAAAAATAACCATAAACCCCATGAAGCTCAGCTGGAATCACAGCCTGCCCTTAAGCTATGCACAGCCTGAAAGGGTGTGGCTCTGGAGAAGTATTTAGGTCTAAAAGTTTTAAAGAAAAAAAGCATTAAAAAGACAAAACACACCCCAGTTGTGGATGGTCCCCGTGGCTGCAGCTGCGACAGGCACCTGATCCTAGTGCAGAAATCCTCGAGGAGAGAGAGCAAGATTAGTCTCTGGAATTGAGTTGACTGACTTAGCAGTGACCTTGGTTTAACTAGATCATTCCCTCTGCCTGCCAAAGAGATCCCAACTGACGACCCTAGGAAAGAATGGCTTTAGGGGAGAGGGTCTGGAACCCACTTGCACAAACTTGGACACAAACTGGTGCTCCTTGCTGGATTTGGTGCTGAGCTCGCAGCCACCAAGACACCGTTGAAGTCCAGACAGTGCAGGTTTGGTTTGTTTTTTTTGTTGTTTTGTTTGTTTTTTTCTGATGTGCAACCATAAAAAGCTCTATTAAATAAAAGAGGATACGTTTTAAATACAGAAATGACTAAAAAAGGGCTTGAGGAGCACGTAAAATAGGGCTGAAATGTGTGTCACTAGTTCATTCTTGCTCCACCATAAAAGGCACTGGAATTATGTCTTCCTGTAGAAGTGGCATGCTGAGAAGTGTCCCATTCAATCCAATGCATTCAATGGTAATGAGGATAAAACTGAGCAGGAAAAAAGCATCCCTTGGGGGGGGGGGGGGGAGAAAAACCCAAACCCAAAAGAAGTTGGATTTTGAAAGTCAACAATCGCATCTAAAAGTGTCTCTCAAGAGTTTTCCTTCTCCTCCAGAGGAGAACATCAGGGGGTTTTGTTCGGTTCACCCTACAGGAAATGTTCAGTCCTCCAATTAACTGCAGCACAGTCGTATAATACAATTGAAAAGTCAGTTCCAATGTCTTCAAAGAGCACTGGCAGTGCTAGAAGTACCCAAGTCAATCCAAAGCAGAAGAAAGAAGCACCTTTCACACCCTCTGCTGGGAGCCCGAGGAGGTAACTGGACTTGGAGGGACCTGGCAGACAGACACAGGTAGGTGGGAATCCATCCAAGCCACCAAGGCTTGCACCAAGGGCAGCAGCAGCAAGAAAAACAGGGCTACAAAAATGCTTCTCTCATCAGGGCATGGCTCAAGGTGGCCCTTCGTGTGGAGCTCAGCTCTGAAAGCCTCCGAGCAGACACACCAGTGAATTCCTTGTTGTGGTTCAGTCTCTCCAGTTGTCATGAGGAAAAAAGAAAAGGCAAAAAAAAAAGAAAAAGAAAGAAAGAAAAAAAAAAAGACACAGCCAGGATGCAAAGTCCATGATCTTGGGTTTAGCTTCTTGGGTGCTCCCCTCCTGGCAGACGTCACAACTTGCGCTGCTGAGCGTTGGACCCTTTGCCGTGAAGCTGAGGAGCATCTGAAAGACAAGAAACCCAGGTGGGAAAGGGGGTTCAGAGTCAGCCCCACGGAGCTGAGGGCAGCTGGGGCAGCCAGGTCTCTGTCTGCACACAAAAACCAGCCTTCCCTTCCAGCACCAAGGAGTCCAAGGGGAAGAGGATGGGCCTGGAGACACCTCACAAGCGGGAGCGGCCGGTAAGGGTCACGGGGAGCACTGGGGGTCTCCTGTGGCCTCCCAGAAGAACCACAGAGCAGATTGAGACTGCTGGTTGACTGCTAGGCTGTGCCCCTGTCTAACAGCCACCCTACCATGTCTCACCACCTAGGGAACTAGAAATACACAGCACTGCCTCTGAAGGTGGTTTGCAGTGACACCCATGGGACACCTTCCCCGCTGTCATGAAGCCTTTAGGTGCCCACTGATAGCAACAGGAACCACAGGATTCTAATCACTGAAGTGACAGGAGCAGGAGGGGAGGGAAAAGAGAAAATGCACTGAAGAGGGGAAAAAAAGGAAGTTGAAGGAAGCAGAAGTTTTTCAGGAGCCATTAAAACTACCATCAGCCTATGAGGTGTACTGAGATCTGCAGCTAAGCAGCAGCAGCAGCAAGCAGCACAGCACCAGCTCCTTCCCCAGCTCTGTCCATGCAAGAGCTCAGCCCAGCACGTGGCATTCCCAAAGCAAGCAGCCAGAACACCACCACAGTGCCAGCACAAGGGCACCTCCACCAGTGGAGACAACACACGAGCAAGCTCTGGATGCTCCTGCTCCGAGGCTGTTTGGTGAAGGCACCTTCACTGATGGCATCAACAGCTCCTTGAGTTGTAAGAACCTCCCAACACACCAGAGCTCTCCCAGTTTTCAGACAGAGCAATGCAGCTGTGGCCATCTCCAGCCAACCAGCTTATGCCACAGAGGAAATTAAGACATTTTTAGGATTATGGTGGTCGCTTAAATATCTACCATGGTCTTGTACCAAGCACCACCACTGGCAGCACTCCCAGAGGTGACAGCATTGAGGTCAACCTCCCACCTCTGTGTGAAACACTAAGGGCAAAAGCAGGTCCCTGCTGAAGCTCTCTCAAAGGTCAGTTTTTCCTCACTTACTCCTAGTAATATTTTGTCTCCTCCCAGCTCCTGGCACTATGTCCTGCTTCAGAGCAGCAGGTCACCCAAAAAGTCTCTTGTTGTATGTTCTAGAAGCAGTGGTGATGTAGCCACTCTGAATTCCCTCCAGTAAGAGGACAGAGCTGCTCCTCAGCAACACAGGACACATTTCACAGCCCATGTTCAAAGCACAATCAATCCCCTCACTCCTCAAGAACAATTTATAAAGAGAAGGGTCTGTCACACTGCTAGTACCTCCTCCTCCTGCTCCACCACAACACAACCACCTGCCTCAGACAAACTTCAGGAGAAGCAGCAAAGACAACAAATTGAAGTTTCATCAAACTCTTTCCTCAGCAAAACGAGCCCTGAGCTCCACAGTCAGGGGTGTTTCCCTGTTCACTGGCACTGAACTGCTGAAGAACACTTGGCCAAAACAGTAGGAACATCAGTTACTGATGGGATGAGGAACCCCCTGGAGCAGGCAAGCCCAATCTGCTGGCCCTGCATTTTAATCTGGTCAGTGCTGTGTGGATCCCTGTTACTTCTCTCCTTCCTCCATGTATTTACACAGCCCCCCCATGCAGGACTCCATTTAGGAGAGAGAAGGTGATCTTCAGAAATCATTATCACAGAATCATTAAGGTTGGAAGAGACCTCCAAGACCATCAAGTCCAAAAATCTCCTGGTTTAGGCTTATTTTTCTGCCAGCACCAGACTGGGGCAGGAAGAGGCCAAACTGCCAAATCCTCCCTTTGTCCTCACCAAGCACAGCAGGTTCCATTTACACCAGGAGCTTGTCATGAAGGAGACACAGGCCACCAGCTCAGCACCCAGACACAAGACATTCTGCTCTGACACACTTTATGGAGCTCCCCAGTAAGAAAACTCCATAGAGTCAGATTCTTCGTTCCTGGCAGACTGTGCACAAACACACAAGGCTTTAATCCTGGCAGGATAATTCCTCTCCACAGCTGAGCACCTCCAGGAGCCTGCACATGCTGGAAGCACCGAGGGCTCAGCACTCCAGTTTGCCCAGTGGAGGACAGGAGGCTCTACACCTCACGTGGCACCTGGTGGGACTACGTGGCCAACTTCCAGCCCTAGAGGAGGTGTCTGCTGAGCTACAGGATGACTCGGGCCACCCAAGACAAACACGATGGTCTGACAAGTTACCTGGCAAACTCTGTGGTAAATGAGTGGACAGGGCAGAGTGTGGGAGAGGCGCTGCATGGTGGGGGCTGGAGTGCAAGCCAGCCAGAAGACCTAGAGAGAAAAACAAAGAAAGGAGAGGGGAAAAAAAGGAACAGATACACATCGAAGACAGAAATGAGCAGAGGAGCTGCAGCAGTTAGCCTATAGCTCAGCTTCCAGCCCTTGGGACTCCTGGGATGTGCCCAAGGTTCTCCAAAAGCAACTGCTGGAGGTACAAGTGTGTGAACTACGGCGTGAAGCAAGAGCCAGAGAGGTGGGTTGGTCTGCAGTGGGCTAACGTGGCAGAGGGTTGGCATTCTTGGTGTCTGACAGCACTGGCACAAGGCAGGTGGGTGACCCTGAGCAGGGAGATACTCACTGTGGCCAAGGCCGTGGTGGAAAGTTCCTGGAGCAGGTCCTGTAACTATTGCATCCTTTGATACTCCAGCTTTTGGGGAGGAGTCTGAACTGAAGGAGATGACGTGGAGAGGGAAGGAATGGATTGGAGAGATAATACCTAACGGGGTGGGGCTCAGGGCAGCTGGCAGCTTTGGACTGCTGGACTTGTAGGATGGAGCCAGTACGCTGAGAGAGGAAGAACTCGTTAGCAGCACAGCTCCACTGGTTCCTTTCTGAAAAAAACAACAGAAAAGGGCAGTCAGGAGTGAGAAAACCAAGGGCACAGCATCACACGTACTTAAAACATCTGCAAAACAGGCAGCACACAAGAATTCCTCCCTGCAAGAAGCACTCAAGAGCTGCCAACTCGTGAGGCCTCCTGGAGGTGGCCAGGATGCTGCCCAGCCAATTGCTGTGCTCTTCTAAACGTGCCCATCCTGGATTTGCCTCCATAAGTCCCTTACCCTGGAACTGTGCCTCCCCTTGGCAGAGGAAAAGCTTAGGCATTGCCCATGAGGTCCAGGGAGGATGGTTCCTACTGACTTTTGGTAGCACAGTGCTGTTGACAAGGCAGCAAGGTTTGGTGTACCCCTGCACCCACAAACATTATCCAAGAGTTCTCCCATGGAGACAGGTCCCACTGGGGGATGCTCTTCACCTCTGCCTCAGTAACAAGCCAACAGCAAATTAATACAAAAAAAGAGTTAAGACTTTGTTGCTATAGATAAAAATGAAGATCCTTATACCATTAAACACAGGAGTTCCCCATGAGACCTCACACACCAGTCAACTCAGACCCAGAATTCCAGGCTCAGTAGCCTGCTGGGATCCCAACCATCACCTCTGTGGGTTGTGGGAGTAACTGGGGAGCAGCAGTAAGTGGAGAGAGAGAACCACCAAAGAAAGCTGGGCAGGCACCTTGAGTTTACAGCTTGGTGTCACACATTACTTATTCTACAGGTCCATTGTGGAAAAAAAGCAGCAATAATACTGAAATTACTTGTGACAACAGAAGGAAGGCCAAGTTTGCAGACCTAATTAACAAATTAACACACTTGTTTTTGTTTGTGGGATGATTTTCAGCTCTCACATTAACTTACTGCACATCCTTCTGACCCAAAGAGAAGCCCCACTGTCCCCATAACTTAGAAGTAACTTAGAAGGGCAGGAACTTTACACAACTTAGGCAAAACAAGCAGCCTGGAAGGTGCCCCAGTATTTTGCTTAGCTATTAATTTAAGCTGAAAACCAAAGCTGGAACTCATGGAGTGCAAGGGCCAGGCTGTCCCAGCCCAGAGGCAGAGAGGAACTGAAAAAAATTTCAGGGAATTCTTCTGAAATCACCACTTTTAGGGTCTGAATGGGTCAGGAGAAGGCCTGACACAAGGCCACAGGTTCAGCTGGCTTCAGGCCAGGCCAGCACAGCCCTGCTTACCGGCACAGAGGTAGAAGAGGCGGTGCTGCTAACCACAGCTGGCTTTAGGGAGGAGGTCAGCAATTTGGCCACCCCTTGAGTGCCCCCACTAGAATCTCCATTTGAACCTCCGGGAGGTGCCACCAGAGTCAACTTCTGGGAAACAGGAGTCTTCTTCAGTGAGGAGCTGGAGGAGGGGCGGGCGGAGGCCGGGCCCGAGGCAGGGGTCTGCACGCTGGGCAGCGAGCTCCCCGAGCAGCCCTGGTTTGCAGAAGCTCCAGAGGAGGAGCTGCTGGAAGAAGCCCCGTGCTTGGAGAGGGAACCAGAAACAAAGGGCGACTTGTAAGATTGTCCTGAAGAGCTGGAGCTGCCCGAGTGCTTCCCTGTGTAGGCCAGAGAGGAGGAGGAGGAGGAGGAGGAGCCTGGGCTCTTGTGGGAGCCGCTGGGGTTCGGGGGGCCGCCCGGCGACGCAGAGGGATGGAAGCTCTGAGCTTTGGTTGAGGACTTGACTTGTTGGAGGAGGGAACGTTGGGGCAGCGGAGAGGAGGACTTGGGATTCTGCAGTTTGACAAATGGAGCCGGGGAGGTGAAAGTTTTCTGGAGCTGGCTGCCTGAGTGGAAGACCTTCACCTGGGAACCCGGCAGCGGGGGGGTGGAGGGCTGAGGCCCGTGGCTTGGCCGGACCAGGCCGTGGTGTTTCTGTTTAGCCTGATGTGCATCAGGAAGGATTTTGCTGGGGGAGGCTTGGCAGGAGAGCTCTTTGTAGTTAGAGTTCTCTGTCTTTTTGTCTTGAGAAGACTGGCCCAACGCCAGAGCCTGCTCAGCCAGGAAATTTAGAGGAGACTGGAGGGAACCAGAGGATGATGTAGGGGAAGGGCTGGACTTTGGAAACGTCCTCTTCTCCTCTGAGGATGCATGAGTTGGGACCTTCTCTGGCGGAGCTTTTGGAGCTCCAGGAAGAGTGAAGTCAGGACTCCCTCCAGCTCTGCTGTTCAGCACAGCCAGTTCCTTAGAGACCGCTTCGAGGGAGGACGTGGGATTATGAATCAAGTCCTCGTCCAAGGAGTCATCCTTGAAGGTAGCAGGAGTGCCAGTGCTGCTGGCTGCTTGGGCTGTCCCAAGGGCCAAGAGTTCTCTGGTCTGGGTACTGATGCCCACAGCTCCTGCCTGGGGCTCTGAAGACAGAGCTAAGGTGCTGCTCGAGTGCATCGAAGGAATGGCAACCGATACCTTTTTCTCTGGCTTGCAGGAAGACTCCTGGAACACAAGAGAAAGCAGAGTGAGAACAGAGGCAGTCTACTGCTGAAGAGGGAAGGGAAGGTTCCCAATTTGAGGATAAGAGGCAGGATAAGTGTCTTCTGTGCCTGCCAGCCCTCCACCTCCCGCTGACATCAATTTTAGCTGCTGTTCTAGTCGATTTTCAAGCGCAATACTGACTAGAGCTACTCCACAGTACAACTTCCTTGTACCTAAAATATAGATACAAGGCTCAAACACAGGATTTTGGATGGCAGTCACTTAACCCTTGGTATATGTCAACTGTGAGAACCAGGAAACAAAGAACTCACCTTCACTTTCACCTTAGTAGGAGCTATAACTTTCTTCTTCGCCCTGTTTTGAGGGAGACAAAAGAAACAGGGTTCACTGAATGCCTGCAGGGAAACACCCAACTGGGGAGCACGCTGGGGCCCCGTTCATGATGATCCACTGAGTCTTTGTCAAGAGCCAAGGGAGCAGAGGCAGCATCTCAGGTTGCTAGGATTCAAAACCACACAGCACTCGGTGGCTGCTCTAGGAAGCCCCAACTCCCACACGGGGGAACGAATCTGGGAGCGGAGCAGAGTCCTGGAATGGCAACAGAGCAGCGAAAGCACTGGACAGACACAGCCTGCAGGGTGATGAGCTCCCACAGGAACCCACTGCTGACCCAAGCACAGCAAAAACCCCGAGAGAAACTGGTACAGAGACTGGGAGAAAAGTCACACAGTTCTTTTAGGTTCCCAGAAGAAGTCAAGGATGCAAAAGCATCTGCCAGGTTGAGGAAAATCGACCACTTGGTCTGGTCAGATGCAACCTCAGGTACAAGACATCCCTAAACTGCTGGAAGGGCATGGCTGAGGGAAGGATGATTCTACACTTGATTTCAGGCTCTCTCTCACACTTCCCCTCACTCATCCAGTGCCAAGAACAGGACCATGTGTCAAACAGGCATCAGCCTAAGCCCGTGTCATCATCCATGACAGACTGCCAGGAAGATCCACGAGACCCTCTGGCACTAAAGCACCTGCCTGGCTGGCTTCCAGTGGCTCTCCTGGTTGGCCACCCACAAGCCTGTTGCATTCATCTTCACTAGCTCGAGCTCATTGTATCCCTCCTTTTACCAGGCAACAAGAAAGAGGGAACCCAGAATCCAGCAAGGACCGACTGGACAGGCAGCAATAACCACAGTGCTGCCATCACCCTCCACTTTACCTGGATCTGCCTCCTGGGGACTAGTGCAGAGGCCTGACTCCAGTCTGCTGAACAAAGCCAGGGGACAACCTGGCTTTGCACGTTCTTATCTCTGAGCTTCCTGCTCAAGCAGCTCAGGAAAGCTGTTGTTGGGAGATGTCACAACCAACCAGCTGCTCTCCCTAGACCTCCCCGAATGAAGCAGCGCCGAAATCTCTCTGATGGGAGCCAAGTTGAGGTGCTCCTGGCATGATCCACCCAGGCCCCAGGGAACAAGGGGGTTCACCAGTTCTCCCTCCAAGGGAAAGCTGCACGATACTCACAGGACTGATGTGAGGTGTCCGTGTACACGCCTGCTCTCCTTAAACAGTGTCCTAAGAAGGGAAGAGAGCAATGAGAAGTGATATCCAGCAAGACCCAGTAGAGCAGCTGGGATCACTGGAGAGACAGAGCTGCACAGTACAGCAGGGGACTTTGGGAAATTAAAACCACAGAGAGCAAATGGATATTCCTCCCTTTTCCAGGAAAATCCTCCTCAGCTCCCCCAGATGATTCCCTCTCTGGGGAGCTATGCTTGTAGGTGCTGGAAGGGCCATTAAGGCAGTTGTTAGGGAATAACTATGGAAAAAGCTCTGCCAGCTTAAAGAGCTGACAGCCAGCTGGAGAGGCAGCACCATGAGGCAAGCTGGGTGGCACTGCTGCCACAGATGACCCAAAAGCTCTTCAGCAGCTTCAGGGGAGAAAGGTCACCTGCCCCTGCCTCAGCCAGGGCTCTAAGGATGAGAATCCTCCTCACACTGAGTGTCTCTGCCACCTCCACGGCCCCAGCAACCCCCCGAGGTGACTTTCTTGCAGCAGCACAACCATTTCTGCAACAACTGGCTAACCACGACCAACCAAGCTCCAGCCAAACCCCTTCACTCCCCAGGCCAGGTCAGAATCTCTCACACACTGGACTTCACCTACAGCAGCTGATGCCTCAGAGGTCAGGGTGAGGGGGTTATAAACACACCTTCAGTGCTGACACAGGGGACATGCTCCCCATCTGTTGTTAACAGCTCCACAGAGACTTCTGTCATCCTTTTGCTTTGAAAAACCCAGCTTATTTTAACCTGTTAACCACCTTTTAGTGCTAACTGAGGAGACAGAGTCACTGCAGGACCTCTCTGAACTCAGACACGAAGTAGCTACTCTGCCCAGCTTCAAGTTCCTCTTAAGGATGAACCTCTGTGATCACAATGACAACAAATCCAGCTGACTTGTCCATCAACTTGCTGACAGTCCTCCTGCTGCTGCCAAGCCCACCTCTCCCCTTCTGTGTGGTTGTCAGTCTACCCTCTGTCTTTAAACCACAAAGTCAGAGGCTATCTCAAGTTGGAAAGGACCCACAAAGATCATCAAGTCCAACTCTATCAAGTCCCAGCAGGAGAAACCACTGTCCCTGAGCCACTGGAAAGCAACCAGGAAAACTGCTTTTTATTGAGTCATTCTGCAGATAACTTCACTGAAAGGCCACCCTACACTGAGCCTTAGGTCAACATCTGTGTAGGGCTCTAAGAACAGTTCCACCTACAAACAAGGGGCAAAAGAAATTCTTTCCTTTTAGTCAAAGAAAAGTGTTTAAAACCCAGTAAGCTCAGCCCCTCAAACTGGTCATGTCTTAACTAAGCAGGAATCTGCACCCACCTCCTAATGCCACCACTCAGCTCCTGTTCC